ATCAACCGACTTCAATCGTTTCGAAAATTTTTTCAAAATTTAAACATTGTCGAGTGAAGGAATCACGGAATCCGATAAATTAAAACTGAAGTCGTAAGATAATTAGCTTTTATTTATGCATAAATTGTGCAGTGCGTTCTTTCTAACACTGACCATAGAGATTCCCAACTCAAGGTGTCTACCCCATACTAACTGATATTTTGGTGACTCGATTTTTGCCTTGATGGTTGAACACTGTCACTGTTTTCCGTTTTTGTTGTATCGAGATACTACTTGAACATCAACTGTTACCTACTGAAGTATTAGCATCATCTAGAAAAACTAGAAATATTTTGATTTGATATTCGAGTAGATACTTCGTATTTCGAGTATGAGCATCTACTGAGTTTTATTTATATCAACCATTGTCAAAAATTTGATCGAACGTTGTTTCGACTGAACTTCCTTCGCACCAAAAGTATAATGAAACATATTCAGCATTTTCGAGTTGGGTCTTTTCTTCACACAATTTTGTGATGACCTAATCAACATTTACGATCAACACGTATACCACCTTGGATTGGTGCAGTGTAATACTAAAAATAACTGTATTGTATTCCCAAAATTATCTGCGAAAATCGAGTGGGCCGTTCCATCAATTTTTTGGGGGGAATAAGTAAATATTCTTAACAATTTACCATGCTAACAATAACTTTAAAACGTCTGCAACATCTCAAAGAAGTCATTTCTTCAACTCTTGAGTTATTCTCTAAAATAAATTGACTGATCCATACATTTTTTGGAGTCACTGTAAAAACAAATCTAAAAAATATGAATGCAATGATAAATTACGAAAATATACTGATGATGTTTTGCACATTTTAGATAGAATTTGTTCGGCAAAATCTTGAGATGACGTCATCAAGTTTTTGGGCTTGATAAACAGATATACTCGTATTTTGATTAAAAACCTACCATGTCAAACAGTAACTTCAAAACGTCTGCAATATTTCAAAATTCAGTTTTGCAATTCTTGATTCAATCAATAAAATAAATTGACTCAGTGATTAATTTTTTTGAGTCACCCCCTATAAGCAAAACCAAAAATTATGAATGGAATGATAAATCACAAGTATTGTTTCATCCTATCTTGGACATTTTAGAGAGGATTCATTTGGCAAAATTTTGGGCTGACGTCATCAATTTTTTGGAGGGGATAAGTAAACATATTTTTAATAAAAATTTATTATGCTTATCATATGTTTAAAACATCTGCAAGATTTCAAAGCATTCGGTTTTGCAGATTCAAAATTAAATTGTAGGTGTAACGTAGTTCACGGGGTCAGCTAGTAAATAAATAAAACAGTAATACAAAAGTTTCTGAATCTCTAAACACATTCATAATAGAGAAAAATATTTTTAAAGGTTGATGAGTCAATGTTCTACATTTCTCTCTCAAAAATTTCTTGTAACAAACATGGTTACAAGCGGCAGAAATTCCATCCCTACTTGATGTAAAATCAATTGAATTCCAATCTTTAGTGATTCGAAAAAAAAGTGTGAAATTTACTCAAAATTGCCAAAAAACCTTTGACTTTATAAATTGATTCCTGATATTTAAGCATGCAAGTATATATTCCCGAGCTGAAAAAATGAACAAACGTGTATGTACTCGTAGATGAATCTTACAACATTGTCATGAAAGCTATTACTTACCGATTAAATTAATCATTTGAGAACAACTAGGCCCCCGCTTTTTCATCTAATCGCAGTAGAACATAGCTTTTTAATGTGATTTTAGTAATACAAACTCGACCGGCACTAGCAACATAACCTAAAATAGTTTGTGCAATGTGTGCATTTATTCCATTTAATTTATCCTACAATAATCATCACACTGGATAAAATAATTAAAATTGAGTAGTTCAGTGATTACTAAGTGAGACAGCGCGAGTAAATCCCTAGCTTGACGGGCCTCCACACTTGTCACAATGCTGCCGATGGAGGTATTGAGGAAGACGAGCTGCTCGAAGGTCTTCACCTCGGGCTTTTTGGATACGGCCTCGGTGTAGTCGAAGATGGCTCGTTTGACGGGGTCGCGCACTATGACCGGGAGTTCGTGCAGAGATTCATGTGCTGCACTCAACACATGCATGGATCAATTTGTGCATTCATTTCGTTTAATTTGTTCTACAGTAATCATCACACTGGATAAAATAATTCAAGTTGAGTTGTTGAGTGATTTCTGACTGGAATCTAAAACTCACTTTGACATTTCGATTTTGCATGGCTAATCCAAAGACGCGATCGTCGAACTGCGACGGAACATTTGGCGACAAATCGGGCCGAGCGCAAATTTCAAAATACAATTTTCAAAGTCGTTTTACAGTGAATGAACGCGATGCAACGATTTGAAAAAAATACTGGCCAATAGCTCTCCTTTATTTTCACAAATGCATCACTCAATAATAGCTTTAAAGTAATCTGGGGAGATATTATAAAATAAAAACCAATTTCCCATGTTAATTCCCTATGTCCAGACTTGGCTGCGGTACGCTGTATAAATGTAGTTATAACCTAATAATATGATTAATTTAAATAGGATACAATAATAAAAATAAAAAAAATAAAAATTAAGAAATTCTGTGATGAAATGAAAAAAAAAGATCAGTCATCTAAAATAAATGAAACAGCGTTTGAAACTGTAGTTATGGAGTTAAAGTAAATATCGCACACACAATTTAAGTTGTTAGCTAAATCGGACATTAGTGCCGCTGATGACCTAACTAAGACATTAGTTCTTTTAGAGATACAATAAAACATATTCGAATTTCTTGAATTTAATCGAGGAGCCAAAAAATTTAGTTTATGCAGAAGATTCGAGCAATCGATCCGAAAGTAAACTAGGTTATACAAGAAACGAAGGACGCTGAAAACACACCTAGTATGCAGTGTGGTAAGATTAAATCTAGCTCACAGAGCTGTATGACCAAAGCCTCTAGGAGGATAAGCACCGTCAATCAAGTATGATATGAATTTCAAATACTTTCTCTGTAGTGTTTCCAAATCATTCACATGAATGTTGTATGTGGGATACCAAATCAATATGCCGTACTCCAGTCTGGACCTTATATGGGAGCAAAAGAGAAGGATTAAAACCGATGTATCAGAGAAATCTTTACAATTTCTATAAATGAAACCATAAGTTTTATATTATTTAGCTAAGTAAAATTTCTGGTCAAATAAGATACCAAGATCCCTAAATGAAACAACACGATTTACGGGTACCGCATTCAGGACATAATTATGCTGATAAAATTATTTTTTCCTTGTAGAACGATTTTTCTTGCACCATTCCAATAATAATAGATCTAAAATACTTTGCAAAACAAAACAGTCATCAACTGATTTTATTTCAAAGAAGAGTTTCCTATCATCAGCATATAATAACTTTTCACAATAATTTTGTCAACTATGTCATTAATGAATAAAAGGAACAAAAGCGGACCTAGCTTAGACCCATAAAAATTGCAGTATTTAACAAACTGGACTCTGTTAAATAAATAAGATTCCAGAAGTGGCAACAAGGACTGAGTGAAACCAAAATGATGTAACTTGTTTAAGAGAATGTAGTGGTCGATTTGGTCAAAAGCTCTTTGAAAATTGGTATAAATTACGTCCACTTGGCTTTTACGATCTAGTGCTTCCGACACAAACTGACTGAAGTAGGCTAAATTTGTGATGGTAGATTGCTTTTCAACAAAACCGTGTTGTTCAGGGGATATTAAACTTTTGACTTAAAAATAAATAAGCTTATGTATTAGGGACTCTAAGATTTTGGAAAAATTGCAAATTATTTAGTTACGGTTCTTATAAGCAAAATTTGGGAGAAAACATAACTGGGATACAGCTTGCACCTAACGCATAATACAAGAGGGCCTCGGAAATACAGGTTATTGAGGTAAACACAGAGGTTAATAATTATTAAGAACGATAAACTAATTGCTCGGCTTATCTATTAGAAAAAAGAGAAAAGACTTCCACGATAAGAATGGATTCAGAGATTGTAGCGCTTTAATTTGGATAATACACTATCGTTTCAAAGCGGAAACGGATACAAATCATACCATCATAAGAGGGTACGTAGATCTTCAGATTGGTATCAAATACACTAACTTATTATAACGGTGAAGATCCACACTAATTTCACTAAAAAACTAGTCCAACCTACATTCATCACGCGAGTCACATGGTATAACAACATATAAAGTTAGGACACAAGGAATATGTTTGACTAACTATTGTACAATGTGCATTATTATATGTGTTACTGTGCGTTTTAAAGGACGAGGAATAATTAGTATTGTAAGGCACCAGACATAGTCGAATAGAGATTCTTAGGGGAATCGGCATGTGGGTACACCTGAAAAGTGTAATAAGTAATAAAATTCAGTGAAAAATCAGTTGTGAAAATACCTAATAAAGAGTTAAAGAAGTTTGTCCTGATACAGTTTTTTTTTACAGGATAAACCAACGATACCTTTCTTGTTCGCCATGAACTCTACTTAAAATTCTATTTTCTTTGTAGCACCGAGCACCATATTTTATGAACAAGCGAGGTGCAAATGATTTCGGAAAATAATTTCTCCCACAATAACTCAGATTTTCTAATAAAAATATAATACTAATAAAGCTTTACGTTAAAAATTAGCAAAAATATTTAGATCAAATTTGGAGATAATAAATACCAGTATTTTGTAGTTTGTTCTACCATAGGTACTAATTGTACATGAGTGAAAATACATCCCTTCTAAATAATTAATTATTATTTGTATAATTAAGTAGTCAACAATCTGGTGGGTGTTGATAAGACTTCTTGTCTAAAAGAAAATGATGGACAACCATCTAAAAGGTAGCTTATGGGTCATTTTATGCTTCCTTACAAACTAATTTGCACGATATTTTTCATTCCATAACACCCTACTGGTAATAGAATCTTGGTGTTAAATTATACAGATTCATTAACTTCTCAAAATAATTTATTTTGTCGGTACATTAATTATTCAACAAGCAAATAAATATAAACAATACACAGTTGACAATTGCGTTTAGTTTCTCACTCCTTCACATCCAGAATGCTCCGGCCAGTCGCAAACAAAAATTCCAGGATTAAAATACAGTCCAGCTGGGCAGTCAAAGGTATACGGTCTACCATTAGAACATTGGTAAAATTTTGTACAGTCTTCGTGTGGAATATAGGTGGCGCCATCAGAACAAATGGAACCTATTTATTTAAAAATAAAATTTTAGTTAACAAAAAGCTTATACTACAGCAACATAAATAGTACTTACTAGCATGGGACGAATATATGACAAGAACAAAAAAAGCCAAACATGTTGAGTAAAACATTTTTACTTTTTTTATGTTTTCTTTTAAAAGTACTAATGCAATTTGCCAGAGAAGATTGGAGCTGACTGATGTCGTTGCAAGAGATTTCGTGGTTTATATATACTTGGTTAGAAATCAGCAAGTCAAAAATGGGTTAAGATGACAAAAAATACTTCATTTTATCTGACGGAGCAGTGATTAATATTAATAAATAGCAGATAATAAATCTCGGAGCACTAATTTTGTTTACTATTTGGTAATACGACCCAATTTTTGATCATTATTGTTATTTTTTAATTATTTTAAAGGAATTATTGCATTAAAACTACTACAAATTAATATTCGATATGCATTAGATCGTATTTAATAACTGTTGGTCAAATTAAATTGGTTAACTGGCTTTAAATAGTAACAAAAACTGTCATATTACAGTTTTCATTATCGAAGCTTACAAAACTGCTTTAGTAAGAATATGTTGTATTTTACTTTCAAAAATAACACTGTGTGTGTCGAGTACAGAAGTTTAAGTAGCCCTGATTTTAATTAGTTTTATTTCGAAAAATAGATTCTATTTTTTCTTAAAATTTTAAAATTATCTGAAGTTATCAAATTAAACTGTTCTCACCTTTACACCATAGTATGGGGTATGTTTAAGGGGCGAAATTTTTCATCAAAATAAATTTACGTATGTAGTTATTAGTTTATATGGACTGGATAGCATAATATGCCAACGAATGAAGTGTTTAAGATGTATCTACTTGTCCTAAAGTTATACCAGTTTTTGAACAAAATGAGTTCATCACCCCTACGGTACGCTAAAAGAAAGCATTCTAATAATAGCCTCACTTCAACAAATGTTTTATTTCATGCTTTTACGTGTCGAAAACTCATTTGTTAAAAATAATTTTTCAATAAAATGTGAATCTTTCTCGTTTTTTAAAGCAACCACAGAATGCAACCCTTTTTGGCAAATCGTCAGGCTTTAAGTGTTTACGCGTTGCGTACATTTGTGTACATTTAAGCTCTTCCAAACTACTAATGACGAAAACCCTATTCGGTACGCTAATCTTCGCACGTTTATGTTAGGGTTTCCTTCCACGATATTTAAAATTTCGGATTTTGCATTTTGTGTTTGGTTGGTTCTTTGTCAACACCAGTCCGACGTACGTGGACGAAATCCTTCATATAGAAGCAAACACTGAACAACGGTATTGAAAGTTCTATGATGTGGTAAATTCCGACCGGGGAAAGTTTCACGTAGAGACGTCAAACTTCAAGACCTTTTCTAAATGATCTGTCGTAGTTATATTGAGACCGTATAGGTCAATTCGGCATTTATATAACGATGAGCGGGCGAATAAAATCGGCGTGGAAAAACTCAACAATGTATTTCTTACTAACTTGAATTTACACGACTAACTATTACAACGATTATGCACAAAATAACTTCCTGGTGCAACTTGGATGAATTCGCTCACTCGGCTTCTTGACTGAATTCCACTGAATAATAGTTCCCGACGGTGGCCTCTATTTAAATATCTGCATTTCTCTAGACGGATCTCGAACGCCGCTTCTAGGTTTTTTTCTAGACCCCGCAATCGAGACTTCCGCGTTCGCGTTCCATAAGTCATCACCGGCGTACGACCAGAAAGCTCTCGACGCCCATAGGCGTCGTACAGGGGCGGCGTAAGGGTGTATTTCGCAACAATACGATTTCATGTAGGTAGATCGAATATGAATGTGTACTGGTTTTAATACAAGTAAGATAATACCACTAAAATATAGAAAAAAGATTATCACAAATTGTGCCATTTACCAAATAGTAAAGAGAATTGTTACTCTGAGATGTATTATCGATTATTTATTGCTACTTATTAATCATTGCTCCATCTGATAAAATGAATTTTTTTTGTTTTTAACCCATTTTTGACTTGCTGATTTCTAACTATATAAACCACGAAATCTGTGTGGATAGCGTCAGTTAGCTCCGATCTTCTCTGGCAAATTATATTAGCACTTCTAAAACGAAAAATAAAAAACAGTAAAAATGTTTTACTCAACATGTTTGGCTTTCTTTGTTCTTGTGATATATTCGTCCCATGCAAGTAAGTACTATTTACGTTGCCCTAGTATTAACTTTTGTTAATCGAAATTTTATTTTTAAATAAATAGGTAACATTTGTTCTGATGGCGCCACCTATATCCCACACGAAGACTGTACAAAATTTTACCAATGTTCTAATGGTAGACCGTATACGTTTGACTGCCCGGCTGGACTTTATTTTAATCCTGGAATTTTTGTTTGCGACTGGCCTGAGCATTCCGGATGTGAAGGAGTGAGAACTTAATTGTCAACGCTACATTGTTGTAGATATTTATTTGCTTATTCGATAATACTAATTAACGTAACGACAAAATAAATTATTTTGGAAAGTTAATAAACCCGTATAATTTGCGTCAAGTATGCTTTTCTTTACTCACATTAGTCCTCTAGATACCATCCGGAACATAGGGTTTCCACTGTCCTCTACCACTTTTCTCAGTCCTTGGTTCTGTTTTTTATTTTATTTCTCCATGATAGCCCAGAGGCTTGTGCTTATCTTGTTACATTCCTTTTCTATGTTCCCGATGGCTCTCCGTTTTCTTTGCCCGGTTGACGAAATATTCTAATGCAATGTAAACATGACTATTTAGAATGAAGCAAAGAAACGCAGACTTATATCCATAATTATTAAAAAAACTGTAAAATCCTGAGTCAAAAAATTAAGATTGTACTCGTTTGGTATAGTATATTACACACTGAGGCGGAATGTCTATCATTCCTGTCGAGAAAACAATAATTTGCTGAGGTTTGTATACTATTTTATTCACAAGCATTTAATAATACAAGCAGCAATACAATAATAAAAAACCTAACCCCATAATAATACATGTGTTTTTTTTTTTGCAAAGATATAAATACTTAGTAGGTGCTACACGATTGACATTTTGTTAAATTAGTTAATCAAAATCACACCAATTTTGCAACCAAATTTGTATTTTCTCAGTGTTTTTAATAAATAAAATGTCTAATACTGAAACAGAGTTACTCCTCCAGAATTGTGGGAGTCTACACAAAAATTAACATTCACTCTTTTAGCTGCTATGGCCTAAAACTGCAAAGCGAGGTACAACTTATTCAGTGTTGAATGGCGATAACCTTCTTTTCTTGTACTCCTATTATTTTCTCAGAAATCTGACGTATGGTAAACGATTCCCTCACTAGTCCTGATTGCAATAACCACAACTTGTGCGGCCACGATTGCAATAAATACATTGTGGTGACAGAATTTAAATCAAAATTTTCGCGCTAAAATTAATTAATTTGAAAGAAAAAAAAAAAAGCAATCACAAAAAAAAAGAAATCGTTAAACATAAGCAACCAAAAAAGCACGTTGGGGTTAATGCACGTAGGTGCTAGTTCTGTATGTTTAGTTAGAGTTAGGCTTGGTAGACCCTGGGTAGCATGGCGAAGCGTCAGTCTGAATGTGTTTTTGTGAATGTAAACACGTGGTAAGAGCTAGTTTAAATTAGCTGGTTTGGTAGTTCATAAAAGGGAGGAAGCATTTGTTTAACCACAATCAATCGTAACTTCCATAATGACACAGTTTTCCCCAAACCGCGCGGCTAATTCTTGCGGCTTTTAATCAAAAAAACATGCGATCTTTCAACGCGGAACACGTGCTGAAAATTTGTTTTATTGTTTGTAAATTCACCAATCAAGTTAGTTTTTCTAAATCGTCAGCTAGTGCTAACACAATTTAACAATCAGGATTATTTAAATAAACCACTTGCTAGAAGATTTCATGAAATTCAAATAGTCAGGAAAACACCTTTGTTGTTTAATTACGAATAGGTTTCTGGATGCATATACGTAAGTGTTACATCATAACACTTCTTAATTCTTCACACAAGATTGGTAATAGTTCATTTACGGCAGTTAAACAAAATTCATTATACTGCGAACTGGCGGGGAGTTAAAATAATTTCTTCCCTTAGACGGTTATCATCGCTATTATCGTCGTTATCATGATTACATCATCGAGGCTTGTTCTCACCACGTTAAAGATTGATTACATCATCGAGGCTTGTTCTCACAACGCTACAGATTGATTACTTCATCGAAGCATGTCCTCGCAACGCTAGAGATTGATAACATCAACGGGGCTTATTCCTCGCAACGCTAAAATAACACCATCGAGGTTTTTCCTCGCAACGAAGATTGTATATTTTTGTGTTTGTTTATTATGTGTTTTGTTGTGGTAACAAGTTCGCGGTATTTTAAACTCTCAAAATATATTGTTTTAAGTAACCAATCACTTAGATCATGATATAATTTGACATAATGTAAACTCTTTGTTTGCATCATTAAAGAGTGTGGCAAGTATTAATCTCATGTAAATTTTGTTAACTTTGCAAACTTTCACCTCATACAATATTTCTTTAATCTCACAGTTTTAACCTCAGTAATTTTCCTTTGTTGTATAATTTTCATTGGACGTGAATTTCATGCTCTACATTTTTAACCTCACATAATATTTTTATTTGCACAAGTTTATTTTACACCAGAACTTTTATTTTATAAATCTTTACTAGTTTTGTTTTGTAAATATTTTGTTGATGAATGTTTCCATCGTATAAATTATTTGATGTCAATTTTTTAATCTCACATACGAATTATTTGTTTAAAATGTCACAAGATTGTATGGCGAATTTAAATGTTGTTTATTGCTCTTTTGTTGTTAATATCAGAGTCATAAGAAATTGAACATTTAAAAAATGGAACTGAGGTTAAATAACACCGAAACACGTAGCAGAAGCGCAAGGCGCGACTCCTAGTGGTGGCTATCGGGATTTGTCGCGCCATCTGCACAAGGGATGCAGGCTTTGTATAGAGTCAGTGGGAACGGTCTGGACGACGTGAAGCTGTCAGCTTAATTATAGCCCTTGACATTCCAACCACCAGTTTTCCACCGAAGCGGCCTGGGTTGCGCGGTACGTCTCTTCGTTAGATAGAGGGGTGCTGAGCGGTAGGCTTGCCGATAGATAGAATCACCGTCACGGGGGAGACCAGCCCGAACCGGTAGCCCCAAACTCCGCTTATGCTAGAACGCCCCAGGGCTACTTTTGTTGTGCTCCTGTTAACTGCCGTAACTTTAAAATCTACCGCCACATGCCCATAATAAGTTGTGTATTTGCATCCAGTTACTTTAATTCAGATTTTGCTTTGTTTTACTAAATTTGTGATATTCCAATATTTGCATTGATTCCAAACAGATGTATAGGATTTTGTGTTTGTTCGTTTTTCACATGTGTATGTCTGTCAATTCGCGAGTGTCTTTTCTTTCATATTTTTTAAGGTGTTTCATTTGAAATGTAATATGTCCGTGAATATACGATAGGGGGTTTTTGGGGCTGAGGAGTGAATCTTCGTAGCTTCTTTCCTCCTGGGAGAGGTGCCATCTTAGCCCCTCAAAAAAAAATTTTGTCTATCATTTGTTGCGCTCTCGAATCACACGCAGTGTATGCTCATTTAAAGGCGGGAAGTTTGGGTTATCACAACATTCATTTGACATTTATAGTACAAATCGACAGTGGCACCGCGACAGGTCGGAAAGTGAATCATTTCTGACCGATTACGTGTCTTTACTGACCGCTTTCAGACTTTTCCGATTCGTCGAAAAATGTATCCGTGGAATCGCTGACTTTCTAACATTTCAGGGTCAGAAAAGCTGTATTTCACTGACTGATAAAAGTGGTTATTTACGTTTTACAAGCACAAAATTGTTTCCTACACATATAATTCTGATCTTAATCAAGGAGGCCACCAGGCTGCTTCAGATTAAGGGGGGACCACCAGGGTATTCCGGAGATTGCTAGTGCACAGTTAATCGTCCGTTTCTTTCAACTGCGGGTCCTTTTATAGGGGTCGCGGAGTGGTTGTAAAGGATTCAATGGCTTGCGAGCGAGTATCAAAAGACAGTTCTGGAACCAGGGTCGCTACATTCTCCCCAACAAGACCATAAGATCGTCTTTTGTGAGATATTAAATATTAATATTTTGTAGTACACTACTGATGTACATGAATGAAAATGCATCCATTAAGAATAATTAAATATTATGTGTATGACTTCTTGCCAAAAAGGAAATGATGTACAACCATTTACTAGTTACATTCTTTATAAATACTTTGTACGATAATTTATAAAGTCCATAAAACTATAGCATATTGCTGCTAAATTATACAAGTTCATTAACTTCCCAAGATAATTTATTTTGTCGTTACATTAAGTATTATCGAATAAGCAAATAAATATGTACAACAATATAGAGTTGACAATTAACTTCTCACTCCTTGACATCCAGAATGCTCCGGCCAGTCGCAAACAAAAATTCCAGGATTAAAATACAGTCCAGCTGGGCAGTCAAACGTATAAGGTCTACCATTAGAACACTGATAAAATTTTGTACAGTCTTCGTGTGGAATATAGGTCGCGCCATCAGAACAAATCGAACCTATTTATTTAAAAATAAAATTGGGATTAATAAACGTTAACACTACAGCAGTGTAAATTAGTACTTACTTGCTTGAGACGAATATACAACAAGAACTAGAAAAGCCAAACATGTTGAGTAAAACATTTTTACTGTGTTTTATTTTTCGTTTCAAATATACTAATAACACAGTTTGCCAGAGAAGATCGGACCTAACTGATTCTGTTCTAACAGATTTCGTGGTTTATATAGTTAGAAATCAGTAACTCAAAAATGGGTTAAAATGCCAAAAAAGTACTTCATTCTGTCTGATTAATATTACTAAATAACAGATAAAAAATCTCAGAGCAACAATTTTGTTTACTATTTGGTAATATGGCACAATTTTCGATAATTGTGTTAATGTTGGTTAAATTACGTTAAATTAATCAACTGGGTTTAAATAGCAACAATAGTACATATATTGTGCAACAAGCTTTGAAAAAGACTCTTTTCACACGAATGTGACGTTTTTATCAAAGAAGTGTGAAAATGGTCAATTTCAAACGTGTTGCACAATATACTTTTTCTACGCTTAAATGATAAGCAAAATAATTGGCTTTTAATGCTAATTTCAATAAATTTCAATGAAAACTATTAATGTATAAACAAAACGACGTTGCTTGTTTACGGAAAAGTTCTGGTAGCTTTGATTTTACAGAGCACGGGCGATTCCGTCCGACCGTGGGTAAAAGAAACTTTAGTTAATGACTAAATTAACGCTTTTATAACAATTCTTAGCAGTGAAGAGAAGCAAAACAACCAATGATTTCCTCTCTTTGGTTAAATACGATACTGTCTGTGATGTAATTAAGCGAAAAGTCTAATATAAAAACTTTTTAAATTTTAAGAAAAAGTAAAACACATTATTTGAACAAAAGTTAATTAACATTAGCTTCATGTAAACTTCCATATCCCCACGATTATGCTCGCAAAGAAATAAAAGTCATTTTATTCAGAAATTAAAATATAGTAAACTCAGTTGACTTGTACCCAGTAAAACTATACAGCCCCATTAACGAACAATAGCGGACAATTGTTGCTATTGTTCGTTAGTGGGGCTGTAAAGTTTCACTAGGTACAAGTCAACTGAGCTTACTATAACTCTAACTCCAGAAGAAGTATAGCGTACGCTGTACACTACACATCAATTTAAAAATAAACTATGTAAATGTTTTTTACATGAAACTTTCGCCTCTTAAACATAGGTACTCTGTATTTTGGTTGAAAAGTAAGAATAGTATATATAATGTGATAACGTCAGCCAATTTTTAAATTTTAGGAAAAATTGTAATACGAGTACATTATTCGAAATAAAATAAATTGAAATCAGCGTCACTTAAACTTCGCTACTCGACACACACAGTGTTGTTATTTATGGAAGCAAAACACAATATTTTTTAAACCCCGATAGAAAAAAAAGGGTGTTATAGTTTTGACCCCTTTGTCTCTCTATGTGTCTGTGGCACCGTAGCTCCCAAACGAATGAACCGATTTCAATGCGGCTTTTTTTATTTGAAAGCTGATTCGATCGGGATGGTTCAGTAAGGTTGATGGTAATCACTCACCGGTTTAATCGGAAAGGTTGTTACGAGAGTGGTTTGATGAATCATCTTGGAGGGCGAAAGAAGAAGAAGCAGTAATTGCGTATGTATGAGAGAGTTCATTTTATTAACCTCCAAGGCAATGGTGGAGGAATAAGCTTTTTTGGTCAGTTTCAGACTTTTTAGGGGTTAATTTTTTTGTCGGGGTTTTTTTAAGTATTACGCTTGTATTAAAGCAATTTTGTTATCTCCCATAATGAAAACTGCAATGTAATAGATTATGTTGCTATTTAAACCCGGTTAACTATCTAATTTAACCGATATAATGTGTAGTAATTTTTAAAACAAGCACTTCCAATGAAATAATTAAAAAATAACAATGATCAAAAATTGTGCCACATTACCCAATAGTAAACAGAATTTTTCTGCTCTGAGATTTATTATCTGTTACTTATAAATATTAATCAGATAAAATGAAGTATTTTTTGTTATTTTAACCCATTTTTGACTTGCTGATTCTAACTATATAAAGAGCGACGTCTGTTGCAGCAGTATCAGTTAGCTCCAGTCTTCTCTGGCATTATTAAGACTTTTAAAGCGAAAAATAAAAAACACTAAAAATGTTTTACTCAACATGTTTGGCTTTTTTCGTTCTTGCCATATATTCGTCCCATGCTAGTAAGTACTATTTATGTTGTCGTAGTATTAGCTTTTTGTTAATTAAAATTTTATTTTTAAATAAATAGGCAACATTTGTTCTGATGGCGCCACCTATATTCCACACGAAGACTGTACCAAATTTTACCAATGCTCTAATGGTAGCCCGTATACGTTTGACTGCCCAGCTGGACTGTACTTTAATCCTGGAATTTTTGTTTGCGACTGGCCGGAGCATTCTGGATGTGAAGGAGTGAGAACCTAAACGTAATTGTCAACTGTATATTGTTTATATTTATTTGCTTGTTAAATAATAATTAATGTATCGACAAAATAAATTATTTTGAGAAGTTAATGAATCTGTATAATTTAACACCAAGATTCCATAAAAAATGAAATTCCAATGAAAAATATCGTACAAAGTAATTTGTAAGGAAGCATAAAATGACCCATACCTACCTTTTAGATGGTTGTCCATCATTTTCTTTTAGATAAGAAGTCATATCAACACCCACCAGATTGTCCACTAATTATACAAATAATAATTAATTATTTAGAAGGGATGTATTTTCACTCATGTACAATTAGTACCTACCGTAGAACAAAGTACAAATTATTGCTATTTATTATCTCAAAATTTGATCTAAATATTTTTGCTAATTTTTGACGTAAAGCGTTATTATATTATTATATTTTTATTACAAAATCTCAGTTAAAAACATGAACTTAATATCTGAGAAACATATTGTTTTCATATTGTGGGAGAAATTATTTTCCGAAAGCATTTGCACCTCGCTTGTTCAAAAAATATGGTGCTCGGTGTTACAAAGAAATAAAAAAATTCTTTACATCACCTTACAGAAAACCCTTCCTGCAGGTACGAGGGACCAGATTGGCTGAAGGCAGAAATCTGTAGTATAAATTCGGGCGAAAATTTAATAATAGCGATTTATTATTAAACCATCGATAAAGAAACATCCGACAATATGTTAACCACAAATGAGACTAATATTACTTGACAAAATTCTTAGATGACGTTATTAAATATTTCTTGGAAATGAACAGATCCATTTTGGACAACATTTTACTGTGTACAAAGATAATCTCGATCGGAATGAAGTTGATATAGGAGTGTCTAATCAATCAGTCAGACCGAAAATATTATATTTCGTAATTGGATTTTATCGTCCCCAGACAATTACAATTGATTGGTTAACATCGTTTTTATCATTATGGACAAATTTTCATTAACAATTTGACATCTGGATTTTAGCACTCTAATAAACTTCTTACTTTATGCTGACGATCTGCAATTCAGAAGTATTCAGTCTGTTGATAATAATTTAGAATTTCAATTAGACCTATATACTTTACATAAATGGATAGTAATCAATTTCCTTCAATTTTAAAAAACATCGCATAATTTCTTTTGTTAATGTCAAATTGGTCTTGAATTTTGATTACCAATTAGGAAAACGGAAATTTGTGTAAATGAAGTAAAAGATTTAGAAATTATTTTTGACTCCAAACTTATGTTCAAGGTGCATTACTATTATATATTTAATAAATGAATAAGAATGCTGGAGCTCATCGGCGTCAATGTTGTACTTTATCTGTCCTTCCATTAAAATCTTGTATTTTGCTTTGATGGGGTCAAATTTTCGATATTGCTCTCCTATACAGTCCCCATTTTAAAGAAAAGACATTGATCTTTTGGAAAGAGTCCATAAAAATATGTACGACTGATCATCAAAGAGGAAATTTGATGTAGACTATGTACAATTTTCAAATATTGTTATTAGAGGATCAATGGAAAATGCTTGCTGTTTGTTTCCTTCATAGACTCGTTAATGGTTATTGGTTATATACAGAGTGATTATTTTATCTGTATACGCCTGAATATTTTCATGTAGGCAACACATTATACATATCATAAGCAATTTTGATCAATCTATTAATCTAAATTAGCAATCATGGATAGTAAATGCAACAGTACAAAAGTCATAATGAAATAAAGACGTCAAGCAACTAATAATGGCAACATTTAAAGAAAATAGAACGTAATTTATTCGATATTTAAATTAATATTATAAATATAAACAAAATAAATAAATAGGTACCTATCCTATAATAAGTACTCAAACTGTCCGTCTTATCCTTCTTCACACAGCGATAACTGCGTTAAAAATTTCTGCGTAGTCTAATTATATGAAGATCTGTACGACACCGCGCAAATGATCTTCATTTTGAATTGGAAGGACTGAAATGGCATGGGTGAACCCGGTTTGCCCTCAGAATGTTAAAAATCGAACTCTAACTAATCTGCATTTGTCTTGTGATCCGCCGTTGACTCACGTGAGGATTATATTCTATAATTTCAATAAGGACAGCTTTAGTTTCTTACGTTGTTACTGTAGGACATTTAATTTTAGTTTTCTTAAATTGATCAACTTCTCTTAATTTTTTTTTAGTCTTCTGAATGCTTGGTTAAAAGGAATTGTATCGCCTGGCAGGTAGACCAACCGCAGCATCAAATTTTCCATCACACTTTCCCACAGTTAAAAACATATCGGTTTTTTCGGAATTCGAAAGCACTGTTACCAAAGATTGGAAATAATTTGACTGTTCGAATTAATTTGTCATAATTTTGGCGCTATCATTGCCATCTACACGTTATTTATTGTTATAAAAAATTTAAGACGAAATCGGTTATGGAAAGTAAATTGTGTTGCCTATTCGGAATTAACTAGGCGTGAACAGATAAAATAATCAGTTAATCAATTAACATTTACCTCCTTCAAATAGTAGAGGAACTCGGAGGACAATGATCTCCATCTTCAGAATATCCCTGTCCACGACTAACAGAGCGCAAAATCATCCAATTAAACGAATAATGGAAACAGCCAATCGTATGGCAGAAAATTTAACATTTTTGTTATTAGATTGTAATCGACCTAAAATCAA